TACGTTTACATTTCCTCAATTTGGCTCTTAGCTAGTTGTTTCTTTCAGATGGGTATATCTTTCCTTTTCTCCTTTTCCTTTTCCTTCTCTTCTTTTCTCAGCTATTTGTAAGGCATACTCAGACAATCATTTTGCATTTTTGCACTTCTTTTTCTTGGGGATGGACTTGATCACTGCCTCCTGTACCAAGTCACGAACCTCCATCCATATTTCTTCAGGCACTGGTCTACCAGATCTAATCCCTTGAATCTGTCACTTTCAATGTATAATCATAAAGGATTTGATTAAGTTCATACATTAATGGTCTAGTGGTTTTCCCTACTTTCTTCATTTTAGTCTGAATTTTGCAATAAAGGAGTTTATGATCTGAGCCACAATTAACTCTTGGTCTTGTTTGCTGACTGTATAGAGCTTCTCCATGTTTAGCAGCAAAGAATATCGTCAATTGGATTTTGGTTTTCACCATTTGGTGATGTCCATGTGTAGAGTCATCTCTTGTGTTGTTGTAAGAGGGTGTTTGCTATGACCCGTACGTTGTTTTGGCAAACTCTTGTTAGCCTTTGACGTGCATCATTTTGTACTCCAAGGTCAAACTTGCCTGTACCTACAGGTAGCTCTTGACTTCCTACTTTTGTATTCTAGTCCCAATGATGAAAAGGACATCTTTTTTTTGGTGTTTGTTCTAAAAGAATAACAAGGAGAGATAAGAAAGCCTTCCTAAGTGATCAATGTAAAGAAAAAGAGGAAAACAGTAGAATGGGAAAAATTAGAGATCACTCCAAGAAAATTAGAGATACCAAGGGAACATTTCATGCAAAGATGGGCACAGTAAAGGACAGAAATGGTATGGACCTAACAGAAGCAGAAGACATTAAGAAGAGATGGCAAGAATACACAGAAGAACCTTACAAAAAAGATCTTCACGACCCAGATAATCACAATGGTGTGATCACTCACCTAGAGCCAGACATCCTGGAATGTGAAGTCAAGTGGGCCTTAGAAAGCATCACTA